AAAAAAAAAAAAAAAAAAAAAAAAAAAAAAGAAAGGTACATGAAATTGAATAAAACTGGAGAAATACCTGCAAGCTGCAGCAAATAAAGTAGAGTCATCCGCAAATAAATTTTTTAGTGTTGAGGTTCGACCAGAAGTTTCTGAAGATACAAATCTTACCGCTTTTGCTATGAATTGTTGAAAAAAATGAAACTTCTGAGTGGGCGGAGATTCTTTCTTTCGCCCGCGGTGCTGTAAGACGGGTTTTTGGTCTGCAGGCACAATGATACCATAATAACCCCTTTGAAAACATTTGTATTTATTCCAGTTTGTTGTTTCAATAATACGCTGTTATGTAATGCCACGCCGATTTCTTGATAAATGTATAAGCAAAAGTGTCAATTATAAAACAAAAAAGAACATCATTACAAAAAAAGAAACAACTTCTTTTACAGTTCTTCACAATTAGCAAACGTGCAATATTCCTTGCACTACGTTCAGAGATTCAAACAAACAAAAAATTCATGACAGAAGTGAAATAACCTTAAAACAATAGAATATGCACAATGGCAAGTGACACAAAAATCGTAAATTCCTCAATGAAGTTTATAAATATAAATATAAATGTATATTCATATTTATTTATACGTATATAAAATACATTTTAGTGCATGCTCACTTTAATATACGCTACGTACATTACATAAATAAATATATATATAATCAAATAAAAAAAATATACTTGCACGTATTTTAGACTGCATAATATACATTTGTTTGCGCTAATGTGCATTTGATATATGTATATTATATAGGTATTAATATACATATACATATATGTAATGTGTTACATATTAAATAAAATTGATACATTTTTTATATAAGACGAGTTATTAGTCATATGCTACAAGTTTTGGAGTGTAATATGTAATACACATGTAAATTACATATAATAAAAATTAGTGTGATGTGTCATGTAATACACTAATATATCAGTATATTTTTGTATTACCATATGGAATGCATCTTCTGCATTCATGTAGCATATATGATACAACGTTTTATGTAATGTCAGAGAAATGATCATCACATATTTTCCGTATTGTCTATTGATTTATCGAGACGTGTATGCGTCTAAATATTTTTATGTTTAATATCTCTATTAATTACTGTACGAATATAT